TGTTATATAAATTTTTATTATTATTACAAAGTATTTCTGCTATTAAAACCAATTTTTACACAAGTCTCTGTGTTAACTATTTTCCCAAAGCTGAGACCCTAACAGGTGCTAACACCCCGGGTCAGGGTGGACCTGGGAACACCAGCAATTAAGAGGTGGTTCAACGCTCCTCAAAACCTCTTGATCAGAGGCCTTGCTGTTGGACAGTTTATCGTCATACCCAGGACGCAGATATATTTTATCGTCCTACCCAGGATGCGGATGTAGTTTATCGTCATATCCAGAACGCGGATGTAGTTTATTGTCATACCCAGGACGCAGATGTATTTTACCCTCATAACCAGGACGCGGATGTAGGTTATCGTCTTACCCAGGACGCGGATGTAGTTTAGCGTTTTACACAGAACGCGGATGTAGTTTAACGTCATACCAGGACGCAGATATATTTTATCCTCTTACCCAGGACGCGGGTGTAGTTTATCGTCATACCCAGGACGCGGATGTAGTTTATCGCCATACCCAGGACGCGGATGTAATTTATCATCATACCCAGGACGCGGATGTAGTATATCGTCTTACCCAGGAAGCGGATGTTGTTTATCATCATACCCAGGACGCGGATGTAGTTTATCGTCATACCCAGGACGCGGATGTAGTTTAGCGTTTTACCCAGGACTCGGATGTAGTTTATCGTCATACCCAGGACGCAGATATATTTTATCCTCTTACCCAGGACGCGGGTGTAGTTTATCGTCATACCCAGGATGCGGATGTAGGTTATCGTCTTACCCAGGACGCGGATGTAGTTTAGCGTTTTACACAGAACGCGGATGTAGTTTAACGTCATACCAGGACGCAGATATATTTTATCCTCTTACCCAGGACGCGGGTGTAGTTTATCGTCATACCCAGGACGCGGATGTAGTTTATCGCCATACCCAGGACGCGGATGTAATTTATCATCATACCCAGGACGCGGATGTAGTATATCGTCTTACCCAGGAAGCGGATGTTGTTTATCATCATACCCAGGACGCGGATGTAGTTTATCGTCATACCCAGGACGCGGATGTAGTTTATCGTCTTACCCAGGAGGTGGATGTAGTTTATCGTCATACCCAGGACGCGAATGTAATTTATCGTCATACCCAGGACGCGGATGTAGTTTACCGTCTTACCCAGGAGGCGGATGTGGTTTATCGTCATACCCAGGACGCGGATGTAGTTTATCGTCTTACCCAGGAGACGGATGTAGTTTATCGTCATACCCAGGACGCGAATGTAGTTTATCGTCATACCCAGGACGCGGATGTAGTTTATCGTCTTACCCAGGAGGCGGATGTAGTTTATCGTCATACCCAGGACGCGAACGTAGTTTATCGTCATACCCAGGACGCGGATGTAGTTTATCGTTATACCCAGGACGCGAATGTAATTTATCGTCATACCCAGGACGCGGATGTAGTTTATCGTCATACCCAGGAGGCGAATGTAATTTATCGTCATACCCAGGACGCGGATGTAGTTTATCGTTATACCCAGGACGCGAATGTAATTTATCGTCATACCCAGGACGCGGATGTAGTTTATCGTCATACCCAGGACGCGAATGTAATTTATCGTCATACCCAGGACGCGGATGTAGTTTATCGTCATACCCAGGAGGCGAATGTAATTTATCGTCATACCCATGAGTCGGATGTAATTTATCGTCATACCCAGGACGCGAATGTAATTCATCGTCATACCCAGGAGGCAGATGTAATTTTTTCGTCATACCCAGGACGCGAATGTAATTTATCGTCAAACCCAGGACGCGGATGTAGTTTATCGTCATACCCAGGAGGCGGATGTAATTTATTTCATCAATGATCTATTTGATGACATCAGTTCTCAGCTGGATTTATTATTTACCCCGTCGCGATTCTTAAACTGACTCGTTCGTTAAGGTCAAATTGTTAGATGGTCTCAAAAACTGATCTACAGTCTGTAGTTAACTGGGATAAGGAATGCATTGTTGGTTGTAACGTCTCCAAAAAGAAACTTCTCTCTATAAACCACCTGAAAGGCTACTTTCTGCCTCCCATCAACATGGCTGATACTAAACTCCATTAAAGTGAATCGTTGTGCTGTCTCAGGCTAACATTCTCGGTTGACAAGAAATGAAAATATTATATTAAATCAATTGATAGCTCTGGTACAAAGATATTTGGTTCACTGTATTGGGCTAGACAATTTGTTTCTCCCCTGAATCTATCTTACATATTTATGAGTTTACAATTCGTCCACGGTTTGAATATTGTTCCCGTATAAAGCTCAGTGCTACTGCTGTATATTTGTAGATCCTTAATGAAATTCAAAAATTAATCAGCTATATTATTGGTTCTGATCTGGTATCTCGGCTTGTGCATTCCCTGTGTATGTTCTATAAATACTTTCATGGTAACGAGACTTCATGAATTTAAGCACAGTAATAGATTATTGGCAAGGTTTCCTTCAATTCACATTTGAATTGGCTAGATGGAACCTAATATTCTATGCTAAGAGTTTCTTTTATCGCCTTAGTCTATTATAGAACGCTATTCCGGCTCCAAGATTTCAATCCAACTTTGATCTTCAAAAGTTTAGATGCAATGCCAATCTTTATCTTTATCTACTGTCTTCCTGATAATTCTTCAGTTGCTTCATTTCATGAGGTGATACGATTAAAAGAATAGTCTTTAGAATTGGTTTCGTGTGACTTTCGCTTTTTCTCAAAGTCTAAAATCGCAGTGGCAATGCTGTAGACACAAGTAAGGACAACTCAACAAACAATGACTTCGATTCCGAAAATGCATGGAAACATGTTTCCAAAAAACTAAATTAAGTAAAAAAGAAAATTCAGTTGGAAACAAAGAAAAAACTATTGAAATGTTAAATATTAAAAATCCTCCTATATGGCAGTGAATGTTAGGCAATTTCTTCACATTTAAAAAAAAAAGTCAGGCAACAGAGATGCGGTTCTACAGAAGGATGCTGAAAATACCATAGACGGAACATTTGAGCAAGGAGGAAGTATGAAAGAAAATGGCAACGAAAAGTTATATTTAAAATCAGCGAGAGTGAAAGAGTAGACTTTTCTGGAATATTTAATGAGGAAATGGGGTTTAGAGATTTTGTCACTCACGAGAGTTAGTGTAGGCGACCTAGGAAGAGCGAAACAGCACGAATTTGTTTAAATGGATAACATGTACATGGACTGGGAGAGATATTAAGGAGTCACACATCGCTGATACAGTGTAACCCGGATATGAGAGAAACCCGGATATATAAGAGAGATTATATATATAAGAGAGATTTTCTCTGGTCCCAAATTAGAGCCCATACTTACATAAACAAAATAGACCAAACCCGGATATAAAAGAAACCCGGATATAAGAGACTTCTTCTCCGGTCCCGACAACTCTCTTATATCCGGGTTACACTGTAGACACAAAATATATGAAACTTGTAAACGGCCATGATCGCTCACGTTCTAATTGGAGAGCGCGCATGTAAGACGAAGTGTTTGGCTCGACGGTAATTACACATGAACGGAACTATTTTGCTTCTTAATATTCAAATAACCGCGCTTTCATACATTTCCCAATCTTTGTAATCCGTCAACACATTTCTGGAATCACTGCGCAGCTGTAAACATTAAGTCATGAGAAGAAAGTCTTTTTTTTTTTTTAAGTAATGCCTAGGAATTTGCAGTTTCCCCAAATCCAATCCGTGTTTATCTCTTGCAAATACAGGAGTTACTTTTCAGTTTTCCTACCTGACAAGATACTTTTTATTTTTGTTGCCTGCAGGCTTTCTGACAACGTTACGTCACGATAAAAGCCATTATAATTCCTTGATTATATATATATATATATATATATATATATATATATATATATATATATATATATATATATATATATATATGTGCGTGTTATAGTTGATTCGTTGTATCACTCATCTCCGTTGTATGAGAACAAAGTCTCTTAATTTTTGATGTGTAAGTTTTTTAATTTTCTTGGTCTTTTATTTTTTTAATACAGCTTCAATTTTTTTATATGCTTCTATGAGAACTGTTTATTTCTGTCTATTTCTTTATTCTTGTTTCTTTTCGCTGTCTATTTTTATAGTTCCTTTAAGATGAACATGTTCTTTTTGTCGTTTCTATTGCATACGTTCTTCGCTTGAAACCGGGTGTGGGGATAATGTGATGTATAGCAACTCTGTAAATGAAATATGAGAGCCAAGTTCGAATTCCTGCCTTGTTCGATACACTCACTCATGCGACAATCGACTCTTCGTTTATGTGATATCTCCCCTCAGCACATTGACGATCATGGCTCTCCATAATATCCATAGTGGCTATTTTTCTATCTTTGTTGGGGCGCCACCAGCCGTTCACACAAGCTTGTCAGGTAAGTGGCTTGCTGCCTTTCATTATTTCTCTTGCTCTCAATATATCCAGTGAGGGTAATGATTTTCAAACCCTCCCTCTTCATTATGTGTCCATGGAATTTCAGTTGTTTTTCCCTGATTTTAAGTCTTGTTTCTGTTACCATTTTCTTTAAGATTTCCTTGTTACTTAATCTCTCCGACCATGGAATTTTCAGTATCTTTTTGTAGAAAATTCTTTCTGCGCCTCTAGTTTTCTCCTGCTGCTCATGCACTGCCATATAAGAGGTCAGATGCCGCATTGCAATTCAGCACCCTTTTCTTTGTTTCTAAAGAAGGTTTTCCGTGATCCAGTACCTTCCTTATGTTTTGGAAAGTTTTTTACGCTCGTCCAAATATCCTTGTTCGGTATTCGGAGTCACATATTCCATTTCTATCAAAAAACGTCCAAGATATTTTAATTCTGCATAATTCCTGATGTTGACACCTCCTATTTTAACTCCCATATTTTTTTATTTTTATCTTTCTGTCTTCTTGAAGTTGATGGTCTTCCTTTTTACACGCTTTGGCACCATCAAAGTTTG